ATGAGACAATTGGATATCGTAGAGTGTACACTGAGGTCTTTTGAGCGATCATCGTGGAAATTCAAGTTGTTTCAATTCAATTTTAAGTGCACTGTGACTCCCTGGTTTTTGCTTTATTCCATCTCATGAACATAATTTTAAGTGTGAGAAGTGGATGTTAAAGAAAATTTCAAAACGCAAATACAACCTGTACTGGGAGAACGAAGAGTAGACTAAAGGTTGTGAAGTTACTTTGTGTGGAATAATTTATTCTCTCACAAACCAACTCATATGTCTAATCATTTTTTTTTCCAATATGGTAGCTGGAAAAAGAAACGACAATAGTGACATAGACATTTTCAATCAAGGTGTACGCTGTATAGTTTATGGAGTTTATTCACACTGACAAAATTTAATCTATATATATATATATATATATCTATATATATTCACAAAAAAGCACAATGTTTAACCATGGTATTGATATATTCTTTTGTTTCCATGATTTTTCTTAAAAGGCGACTACACGTAAATTCCTTGTAATTGAAATTGAATCAAGTCCGTAATGTTTTTCTCTTCCACAGTAACAAAACCAGTCACCGAGGAGCTAAACATTGCTGCCATCAAAGTATCTGCATACATTGGTGTTCATTAAGCAATCAGAACCGTGGATCATCCTGTTGATATAATGAAGCTTTTGGGTGATGGGAGTCTTATTGCGGATCTTAAATTACATCGCATTAAATGTGCTGCTATTATTAAGGACGTGGTAACTCCAGCAATGTTAAAGGAATCAGTTGAAGCTATCAAGCTATCAAGCTCCCGAAAATGAACATGATAGCTATTGGGACAGACTGACCTAATAAGTTATGTGGACGTAAAGAATCTCTTTACGCCCTACTGAAAAAGGACGTCCCCAATCTGCAGCTATTCAAATTTTTCTGCCATTCAATGCAATTATGTTCGTGTAAAGCATCAGACGAATTACCAAGTTCATTGGAGTATTTAATTAAGGAAATTTACGATTGGTTCAGCAGAGTAAACTTCGTCACGCTAAATACAAGAGATTAATTGATACGATTAATGCAGGAATAGAGAGCAATCTCTACTATCAGTTAATTCAACTGTCCTAAAGACGCTGGCTTGTGTTTCATGATGCTTGTAAGAGGATTTCGGAACAGTAGTTCGAGGTAAGAATCCATGCTTAGAGATGAATCCATTTGGTACTTTTGCGAAATATTCATGCCCAAAAGCAAAATTTAAATTTAACTTTCCCAAGTAATAAAGTTGTTGCTGGGCGTGCTTATGATGAAATGTGCACAATACTTTTATCATTCGCTACTAAGGTAAGCAAACCACCTTTTCTGGTTTTGCATCGAGATGGAGACAATCTGTTGGACCATGTATGAGATGCTTTGACCAATGCATCGGCATTTTTGTCATTAGAATCGGTTAACTTCGGATTTGATCTAGTGGGAGAATAAACTACGACGATTCTTAACGCTGACAAAGTCCCGGAAGTAAAACAGAGATGTTTTAACTTCTTAAAACGATTATTCGTAGAGATGTCCAAACGTAGGCCAGTTAGGTGAGGCTGTCCTGCGCATGCTATGCGCCCCAACGAGTAATGGGTGTGTAGAACGAGTCTCTTGTGCTATGAATCTTCCTGAAAGTAGAGTACGCAACAAGATCGGAATAGCATGTTGTAGGCCCTTCTGAGGATTAAAGTTCGCTTCAATGTTACCGGTTTGTGGTGCGTCATAAACACCCTGGTGTATCAGCGCCGTATTATAGGGTTGCAAGTTCCGGATGCTAGGTGTCGAGTTATATTGCCCATCATAACGCGGTTTTGAGAGTTTTGTATTATTTTCTGCGGCACTTTTATGGGATAGATCAAACACCGATTTTGCCTTATGCGCCAGACGATATTGAGTCCGTTGTTGTGAATGAGAGGTGTAAGATTCACTGAAACTTCTTGTTTGCGACTATCAGACCCGTTGCTGTGACGAAGCCTGATATCCTCTTCGCATTTGAAGACCAAGTCATCCACCCGATTGAGTTCTCGGTGCCAGCCAAGAGTTCTCTGACGGAAGAGGAGGAATGGCTGAAATACCAACTATGTCAGTTGAACTGCGGGTTTAGGGTTAAGCTGATCGTCCTGACCATTGGCTCTCTCGGCGGGATGAAACATTCTTTTGTATCTGCGCTGACAGTGATTCCAGCCTACAGGCGCAATGCCTTAATATTCGCTGGCCAGATGCAAAAAGCTGTCGTCCGTTGGTCCTTTCGACTACTTAGACATCATGATTCCGGACTGCACTAGTAGTCAACCTCTGGTTGGGAACCTAGGCTTGCAATAAACGATATGAGGCCAGGCCAAGTGAGTGAAGTACTAGTCGCAAAGGAAAAGTTTCAGTAAATCTTACGCCCCTCATTCACGACAATGGATTCAATATCTCCTGAAGCTTCAGGCGAAATAGTCTATATCACAAAAGTGCCGCAAATGGTAATACAATACTCTTAAAGCCGTGCTATGACGGTGGATATAACTCGTCGCTGCATAGGTCTGCTAAGTCGACAAATCATGCCTTAGAGTTTCGGGGGGATTTAGCAAGCCCGATATCTAACATCCG